TAACGCCGCTCGTTAGTCTCAGTCGCAGCTCCGGATGGGGTCTTATATGGATATGCGGGCGAGCTTTAAGGGGCTGGCGGCTTAAATGCAATTCCACAAAGCGTTAATGGATTTTTTCGCCTTTCTTTTGCAATTTTATTATTTTATACTCTCGGTAATGCGATGCGTACGGAGCTTTCTGTCTGAATGCGCTTTTAGCAGGGGCACTCAATTGAATGCGTGCATTTTTAATAAGAACAGGTTAACAACTAGCATACTTTATTAATCTTTACAATCAGAAGCAATCCTTCAGCCAGAATGTACAATTGATACGTAAGTAAACAAAAACGGCTCTGTACGTTTTTAGACTGCCCTTAGGTAAACCTGAAAGTGTGAACTTCATTCTTTTCGTATTAAGTGACATTTTTCCTAATTGGAGGTTAAGGAATGAACCATTTATAACTTTATTGTCGCTTGCCTTTTGTTAATAACTTCCTTTTTGTGCGTTAAACACATTTAAATTATAAATTCCACAGCCACGTTTTTTAAAAGGATGCCTTTTACTTAGGGAACTGGTAGCAGGAGGGCCACTTTTTCTTATGCTAAATGATTACACTTAACTAGATTTGCATATATTTAAACATTTCCTTATGCGCACGCAACACGAATTGTGTGCACGTGGTTCCCGGCTCTCGCTTCTCCGCCTGTGTCCTGTGCACAAAAGGATTATTAAGGAGCTTCATATGTAAATGAAAACCAAATGCACACGACGTCGCCAACAACGGCAGAAGGACGGTCGATGCGGGGAGTGAGACAGATAACCTGGAAGCCACAGTTTGGCAAACACAGGCGGCAGAAGCCGCTCCAGCTCCAGCACCAGCTCCAGCTCCAGCCTCATCCTGAGCCTCAGCTCAGGCCAGACAATGTTTGTCCTGGGATCCAGAGGGGATCCTGGATCCAGCAGAGCCAGGACGATAGAGCGTGCGTGTGTGGGGTGAGTGGGGTGGGGTGGCTACCTTTCGGGCCCCGCTAGAAAGTAGGTGAAAGCCAGAGGCAGACGGAAAGCCAAGTGGAGTGCCCGCACCCGTTCGCTCGCTCGCTCGCTCGTTCGTTGGCCCGTAATTTATGCCTAAGATAAAGTCCTTGAATAAATACATGGAAAATCCTTTGAAATTGAAATTAAATACGAATATCATCTTTTTTTAAACATATGAGAGTGAGACAGAAGCAGGCGGAGGCTGCGTCTGAGTCGGGGCCCACAGAAATGCAGACAAAAGGCGAACGGGAAATGAAATTAACATTTGAGTGCGCTTTCCCAAAATTAAACCAGACTCCCCAGGAATCCGGATGCGGGGAGTCCGCACTAGGGCACACACACGTATTTATTTATTGAAGCTTCTTTGGGGTTTTAGATATGTGAGCCATCTTATTTAGCATTTTTGGCATCTCCCCGCTCCCCTGACGCTCGCTCTGCTATGCTGGGCTAAAATTCTCATAGATTGTGTGGCAAAACATTTTTCTTATCCATTTGCCATATGAAATTAATTTTACAGTCAGCAGACAGAGCTCATGTGCAGCTTTGAGAAGAAAATAAGCAGAGAAACCATTTAGGGCGAATTTATTTTAAAGGGGGAGACGTTCTGGCTTGCGGTTACCTCTGGAAAATTGCAGGGAAATTGGAAAAGCTCGCAGAAGCCAGAAAATAATCCATAGTCTAAAGCACTTGGGAGACAGACTGGCTTTAAAGCGCACTTAAAAAGTAATAAATGGCCGAGTGAATTGCTAGCTAAAATTTAATTTCGAGGAGGCTATTCAACTGTTGCATACTTCTCTGCCAGTCCATTTTATCTGTTCGTCTCCTATTCTTCAAACTTCAATTCCCATTTGTATTCCCATTTTTGCAAATAAAGTTATTTCAGCTCTGGGCCTTGCCATTCACAATTCAAATTCTCGTTGGCCTCAGTTTGGTTGTGATTTTATCGCATCTCTGGCCTTGGATTTCCTCTGGGTATTACATATTAACAATCCTTTTTGTACTCGGCTGGGATACAGTTTGAAACTGCTTTTCATTAAAATTAATATTAATTTTACCTGAACACACAAATTTAAATTGCATTTCCACAGCCGAAATATCCCATTGAAGTAGCAGTTGTTGCAATTTCTGCAGTTTTGCTGCTTTGACCAATTGGCTCATATAAATTGCATCGCATTTTTCCAGCCCCCCTTTGGCAAAGTTTTAATATTGGAAAAACAAACATATTGCCGCTTTCCTGTTCAACTTTTGTTATTGCATTTTGAATGTGCGGTTGGAAAGAGGCGCATAAAAAGCCTCTGGCTTGGGCATAGAAAAGCAGAGCACAAAAATTAATTATGAAACTTCGTTGGAAATTGTGTAAATATGTATCAATGAAAATGCAAGGCAAACAAAGCGTTCTATCATCGAAGCGCAGATGCTTCACTCAGGTGAGCCCCAACCATTTAAATGCGATTTGAAAGTGATTTTCATATCAATGCAACTGTTTACAAACATGGCAAACAGGAATTGAAATATTTTCATAAGAATTACAATATCTCTGGGCCAAATTCCTCTTGACTGGCAACCGAATTCCGGCAAATAAATCCCTGAAATAGCATGGTACATTTTTCACTTTCCCCGCCGCGTTTCGAGCACTTTTCGGGCCACCCATGGTGGCAAATGTTAACCAACATGGAAATTGCTTTGAAATTTCGGGTGCGAAAATAGATACATCATAGATTTAGTTACCTAGTCAATTTATGTGCCGCCGATTTTAGTAGGCCGTCGCCCGAGAGCAAATCAAAACCCATTGAGCAGTGTCTAAAATGTGCAATATGAACTGGGAAACGAGCGGGGAGCGCCCGCTCCCGGGGCCCATAGGCTATATAAATTTCAATCTATCATTTATTTAAGTCCTAGGCCAGCGGCAGAGCAAGAGGAGCTGCGCCCGGACCGAGGCTCTCATTGCCATAAATCCCCATCAGAGATACGCGTATATTTATTTACTGCAGCGCGCCCAGATACAGATACACCATAGTCACCCCCACAGAGGACAACGCCGGGCGACAAAAATTGTAGCCGAAAAATAAAATAGCTCCTCCCGCCCGCCGAACGCCCCCTGTTTCATATTTTATTTGGGTTTTATTTGTGCCTCTTCTGGTCTTTTTCTAGTTTTCTCCACCGGCGCTGCCGTTGTTCCTTTTTGCTGTGTAAATATTTTGGAAAATGCGTTTTTCTTTACTGCCACTGTTGTATCTTTTCATACACCTCGCTCGTCCTGTGCACACACATACATATGTATACGTATGTATATGGAGCGCAATGAAAAAGGATTTTTTGCCGATTCCCGCCGGGCTGCCAATTTTTATGGTTAAAATATTTGTGTTGCTCTGTTTGGAGCGCGGGAACCTGCTAAAATATTTATGACAAGCGCCGGGGAATACCCGGCATACGATATTTCAATATAGCGGGAATAAAATTCTTAATGTTTTGCTGGTAATTAAAAAAGTCCAATTGAAAATGGCCCGAGGTGGCGGAGAAGCGGAGTGGACTGGGCTGAGCGCTGAAGTGGCGGTCGTAAGTAGCCCAAATGAATTTTTATTGCTGTTCATTAGGCATCGAATGGCATCGAATCAATCAATTGTGGCATTCCGACTCCAGATCAGAATGGGATCGCATAGGGGTGGGCCGCCTAGGCAAGGCACGGCTATTGAAAGGGAAACTATTGGCTAAGCCGGAAAGCCCTTCGGTAAATGGACTGCACAGTGTACACCATTGTATTCAATTTTGTGCCGTCGGGGACCTTCGACATTGGCCACAGTATCCCGACAAAACTTTTAATTACCCTCTCTGCGTTCCGTTTCTCGCTCTTTTCTCTCTGGTTGCATTCGGCGCTCGCCTGCATTCGGCAATTCCAATTAAGCTATCATATTCTTGTCTCGGAAACTTTCCCTGAATCAAAACTTGTGGCGCCCCAACCCGTCTTACCATCGGAACTGGGCTAACGAATATGTTCAATTTCATTCCTGCTGCCAGCCGAGCACAACAAAAACTTTATCTTTATAATTTCCATATTCCATAAGTTGAGCACTTCTCGGCAGTCGAACTAGAATAGTGAAACTTCTGTCCGGAAACAAACGATTCGCCATCCAAAACATGGCCATTTTAAATTATAGGGGTTAGTGGTAGTAAAATGTATGAGCGTAATTGCTTGCTAGAACCTTACTTTTATATGTCCGTTAATAGATTTATCACCCCTTGAACACAAATTTACTAACTGAGCTGAGCTGATCACTAAAATATCACTACTTTTAAGCCCTCAATAAAAACTTCGCTTTTTATTTTCAATGCCTTCTTGTTAGATAATTAAAGAGTTTAAATATTTTGTATATTCCCATTGTATCCACTCAACCAAAATCAGTCTCTACAGATTCCTTAACAGCGAATTTATGCATTTGCAAAATATATAAGTTATAGAAGAACGACCGAAATGATGCTCCTTTTGAGTGTTGCACCTGCAGCAGTTTTCCCGCTCTTAGTGGGGCACTTTTCCCATTTTCTTTTGTGGCACAACTACAGAATGCAAAACGGCAAAAACTCTAAGAAAAAAGGAAAATGCTGATTGAATGGCATTCCAATGAAGTTGATGGATGCATTAAGGGGCTCCCCTCCACTCCCCCTCTTTCCGGAGATCACACACACTTGCGCAGGCCAAGTTTTGTGGTAACCGAAAACACACACAAGGCAAGCTCAGAAACAGAATCAAAAACAGGACAGGACAGAACAGAACCGAACGGGACAGAACGGAGAAAGGGACAGGGCAATAAAGAAGGCGAGAGGCTAGGGGGAGAGCAGAGCGAACCTGCATGTGCAAGGCACATATCTGTATAATGGATTGCACTTAACATGCCACACACAGCAACCACAAGTGCCGCCGCAGGATCCCCGCCTCGCCCTCACCACACATCGCATGCCTCTCAGGTAATACATCATTTACGAAACTCACCTGAGAATGGAAGCTGGAGCTATCGGAAAAAGTCTGTCACTACTGCTGGCGTAATCCCGACAACGTAACGTCTAATCCTTTTGTTTACGTTTATGTTAATCGTTATCCACACACACACACACCGGCACACAGTCGTACACAGTCGTACACATAGATTGCAATTTAAATTTCGGCACACATTACGTGGGCGGCATCGCGTTTCTCATCCGCCCCCTTGCCAATTGTTAAGTCCGCAAAACACACACACACCCGTGCGCGAGCTACGTAAGCCGTAAAGCGGAAGCGTAACGGTTAACGGTTCGCGTCGCGTAACGTTCAACCAGGCGTCCGTTTAATGTCCTGCAATTGTTGTTGCTGCCAGGATGCCGGCTCAAAAGAGCGAGACGGAGCGACGTGTGTTTTGATTTAATTCGCAAATTATGTGCTGCTTAGTTTGCGGCACCGATTCCGATTTGCATATGAATGTGGCGCACTGTGAAACCGGGCTTATTCTGTCGCTTACAACGTTTTATTTACATATTTTCACTGGGTGCTTTGAATAGAAGCACTCGCAACGCTGCACAATGTTTCACGCACAGCCTCGCCTTTTCGTGTTTTCTTTTGAGATTTTGCTTGCCTCGTCGTGACGTGCTAAAAATGCTGACTCGTTTCGCTTCTCGAGCGAATCGTCCGCCCGTGTACCGCTCGCTTTGAAACTTCGGAAGTAACTGGTTCGCGTTCGACGGCCACCTGGCTACGTCACGTCGGCAGAAAAACAAAGAGAGAGAGAGCCGCTCTCTGCTGTTGCGCAGAGAGCGCCTCTGTAAGCGTTTACATTCTGCAGACTCAAAACACCCTCTCTGCTGTTGTTGCTGTTGATGGAAGTGCTAACAGGGCTTTCCCAACAGCGGCAGGTGCATCTGTTACGCGCAATTGAAATGCCAGACGGCAATTGAATAGGTTCAAATGCCACGCACGTAGCCTAATTACCGCAATGTACACAACATTTTTGTGCCGCGCGCCATGCAAATTAACATTACACAAGGCACTTGTATTCGGTCGCCGGAAGGGGGTGTGGCCCGCCCTGAGCTTTATTAATTATACTTTTCGGCTGCTGCTTAGTATGCCACATATGAATAGTCATTCAGGAAATGAAAAAACTTTATGGCTAATGAAGTCATCGATGGACTTGTGATAAGTCCAAGTTTCGTTGCTGTAACGCGGTTTACTTTTCAATCGAACTCTGGAAAACCACGGTGCGTGTAGCATTTTTGAATCAAACTGCAATAAAACAACTCTCAGGATTCGACAAGACATGACATGTTTAAAATCAAATACAAAATTATGTGTGTGGGAGCAAACCTAATGGCAGAATACTTTCCGGAATCATAAAGGGTCGGTAATGTACCTAATACAAGGTAAATATATTAGGCTTAAGTCCCATTCGGAACACGTAAAATTAGTTATCGCCCCACGGGAACTTATTCCGCAAGTAAACACGTTAATAGTCGGCACACACATTCAACCGTTTAACAGGCCCATTAACATTAGCGGAACATCTCGTTTCACAGCATCTGTGAAAGCGAAACAACACCATTTACAGCCTGCGACGTGTTTCTTGCCCTAGGTTAACATGTAAACAAAGGCACTGTAAAGACACACTGTTAATTGATTGAATAGCATCTGCTTACAGAAATCGTTATCAGTAACATCGAATTTTAATATTTTATAATTGAATAATCTATTTACTGAATACGCGAATTAGTTGAATTGTTAAGTAATTTGTGCTTTTTTATGCTTAGGATTGAATCCATTTTAGAAGTTCCTTTGCAGTTGCCCCACCATGAAAGGGTTCTTTACAATTGGAAAAAAGACTCGATGCACTCCACCTGTGGGCGGTCATTTAGGTACCTCATACATTAGCAAAAGATTAATGGAGCCGAAGCCCTAAAATTGCCTGCATTTCATTGTCAACCGCACAATTCTGTCAACTCTGTTAGTGGAAACAAGTTTCAATTCAGTCGGCCATTAACATTATGGGAAACTGCTCTGTTATCGGGCCCCGCACAATGGGAAATTTGACCACTTTTCTGACCAAAATTAATATCTCCAGAACGGAGACCATATCTATGCGAGTCCGAAAAAACCAAAAAGTGTAGGCGTGATTTGTAGTGATTTGGTTATATTGTTTGTGTATTAAATAATTTTACAACAGTTAACTGCAATAATAAGAATAAAAGTTGTAAAATTCAGCAATCACTTTGTTTATCTCCTTTTTTAGCACACTATTGCTCTGAATTTGGACATTTCTCCCAAAATAATAAATTTGTATTAAATTAATTAAATAAGCTGCAACATGGAGTACATTTCATTAATGGACTATGCTGGACTCTTTTGAATCCATGTTGCAAGTTACATAAGTCATTGTCAAAGAATGATTTTGCTTTATCTATTATGAATGCGTACATTTAATGATATATCAATCTTCCGACCTTCAGAAAATGGGTTTGGGCAGGAAAAAGTGGCCAAATTTCCCATAGTGGAAGGTCTTCTGCATTTCTGTTGACAGACAAGATTTCAATGTCACCACTGAGAGCCCAATTCAACCAAATTCAAACGGGAGAGCACATGCATGCGCATGGCATGCGAAAGAATTTATTACAGAGTTCAAAACGTTTACGTGTCGAAAAGAACTAAATTTTACACTCTGAGAAAAAGTGCTGCAATGAAATGATTTTGTGATCAATGCATTCGTATTAGGTGCTGGTGCTTCCTATTAGCCAGGAACGCCAACAGCAATCGCCTGTGAATATTTTCCTATGGATACATTATTTTTTTTTATAGGCTTGAAGGATAACAACTCAAAATTCTAGAAAACAAACCATTAATTTCCAAATATTTCAACCGCGATTCGCTCTCTTTGGCCACACTCTGTTGTGTTTACACACCTACATTCGCAACTCATTTTCCTTCGAATTTCCCGCTCTCTCTCGCCATTCGTCTCTCTCGGCCGCTCTGCCGGGGATGTGGGATATGGTGGAGGGGCATTCCAGTGGGTGGCTGCTGAATTGGTACATTAATAAATGAGTGTTATGTGCTTTTTCCTAGTTGACTTCATGACATTCATTCATTCATGGGATCGTCGGAAGCTCGCTCTTCCGATTTCGTACTTGACGTCCGAAAAATAGACTTTTCTTTTGGCGCATCTTTCGAGACCTTAATTGGGTTTTTTATTAACTAAATGTGATGTAATTTATTATTTATTTACCCGCTGCATTTTGAATTCATTTCGCCTTAATTTATTTATGTCAGCTTTTTCATTCACCATTTTTTCTGACAGCGAGCGCTTGAGCTCTTAAATTATTAATTATTTTCAGTTATTTATTTGTATTTATTTTTTGTCTCACCTTATCCGCACTTTTTCATGTATTGATTTTGCAGTCATTAGTTTCCTCGTTGTTTGTTTTACATTTTATGTGCATTTTTAATTAGCTGACAGCATTGTTGTTTTTGCCCTCCTGCCACTGACTGTTGTTTTTGTTCTTCTCGTTGTCCGCTGACCTTTGACACACTCGTAGAAAAACGTTGACAGTTTATGGTTGGCTTTAATTGGTTCCATCGCCCGCTCGTCAAAGTTAATGTAAATGGCTTGTCAATCAATCAGTTGATGGCCCCGGGATCCCAGATATACATAGATTGAAAGCCCCATTTTTTACCACTGTATCGGGATTAGTGTCGTGACTATGGTCCATTGGTCAAAGGGTGCGCAATGAGATAAGTTAATACCCCCGACGGGTTAAACACATGTTACTGTTGTTTTGGCAAGCAAAATTTCTTAATTGACAGAAAAAACGAAATAAAGTCTAGAACTTTTGAATTAGGGCAGATCAGGAGAATTATGTAGACTTTTGTGAAGAACTTCCAGTTCTAAGACTTATGAATGACTTTTTATAAACTAAAACGGCACTTAATTAAAAGGTTCATTTTTTCTTATCGGTCGCGAACAAGATCTTAAATTAATTAATTGCCTAGCTCTTTTAAATCGCGATATTTTTACGTTACATTCAGGTTAAAATGAGGTTTTTCCAAGTAGTTATAGATTCCAGAAACATTCACGAATCACCGACTGAATTCTTTCATTTCCGAGCCCAGCACTGCCCGCATATCTCGAAAATCACAGAATCAAAAGATGATTATCTTCAATACTGTCTTCAATTTCCCTACGTTGGCATCAACAATATAGTAAAACTATATTACAAGATCACCGCTCATGTGTTCCCTAAAGGCCAGGGTCATTAGCCCGGCGCTTCCCTCTCTATTTTTAATTCACTCGTGAGGGTCATTCATCAGAGATCTGTATGCACTTTTCTCTTGGCCTTCTCTTTCGCACTCACTCACGATCTACCTGCTACCTGTTGCAGGTGAGTGAGCGCGCCAATCAGATGGCTTCCTGGTTGCACCGTCCACTGGGAACAGGATTGCCCAGCAATCATTGGTGGATGGTCTGATTTGCGACTCCGATAGTGGATATATTGGATATATATATACCATTTAATGGAATTCTAGAAATGCTTTTATTAATTTTTTATTGAGAACTCCCCAACTTTGTTATCCATTAACTTAAAACAACATAACAATCTATCAAAGTGTGGTATAAAACACAACTCATCGAATTACAACTAGAAAATAAGCTGGTCATTATCGTTTTAAAATCACTTAAATCACTAAAGTTGTACAGTATATATTTAAGAGCCCACAGCTGCATAAAAAAGCAAACATTCAGACATGCAAACATTCACTTAAACACAATTGTGCCGAATTTATTCTCTCGAGAAACGGAAAGTCGGGAACTTTAGCACTTAAATTTCATTTGGCGATAGTCCAATTTCCATGATGCATTTCCATTAATTTATATAAATTTATGCAATTACTTTTGTTTATTTACTTGACCAGAGACACCCCCCGCCCCGGCTTGCGGTCCTTGTTCGTCCTTTTCAGGACTCGCTTCATATCTGCGCGCCACCCCAACCCGCCCCTCCCGCTCCTTGTTTGCATTGTGCTCCAGTGCATTGTCCTTGCAAAATATTTGGGTCACTTTTGTTGTCGCTGCTCAGTTTCGGTTGATCAGAGGAGGGGAGGAGCGAGGGGCTGGCTCAATTTTTTATTGACTCGGCAGGACCTCAGTGGGTCTCACTCTCGCAACTCCGCTCCTCCGTGGCTCTCAATTTAAGTCGCATTGATGGCGACACATGTTTGACGTGTACAAATTTAATTTAATTTATTAAAATCATTGTGTGCACAAAAGCAAAACAGGCGCCAGGAATTACCCATGGAATGCCTGACCCCAACAAAGGACGCCATCGGCTCGCAACAGGACGAGCCAGGACAAGCCAGGACACAACGAAGGAGTGTGCCATTGAATAAGTTTTAATGATGATTGCAGCGGCGTGCTGCAAACCAACGGCAAATAACAAAACGAAGCCCAAAAGGATACATTTAAACGCTTTACTCAGACATGTGAGTCGCAATTGTGATATCCATTAAATCGCCTTACAATGTGGAGCATGTAGAATGTGCAAAATGTAGAGTAGAATGTACATGTAGAAACACGTAACATTTACCAGTTCCTGATCGCTCAAAATTCAAATATAGGTTTTAGAATTGAATGTTAACTAACTTAATAAATATCGTATTAAGTGAAAATCTCCTAGATGTAAAATTAGTTGTCAACA